TATACACACACACACACATATATATATATATATATATATATATATATATATATATATATATATATATATATATATATATATATATATATATATATTCATCAAAATAGTTATGTGATCATGGGAAGGACTTCTGTAATGAAATAAAAATTTCACATTTATATATTCATTAAATCTTTGAATATGGTTTCTTTGAGAGATACTTCACCAGACTTTTGAAAGCTATGAGTAATCTGCAAGCTCCCCAAATAAGATAGAATCTTACAATAAATTAATATCAAAGAAAATAATTAATAAGAATTTCTCGATTTATTATAGAATTTTTTGAGACAGTATTTAAGTATTACATTTTGACAACCTAGCTAACTTGTGAATTAGTCAAACAGCCTTTTCAGAATAATTAGTAGTAAATTAATTAGTAATATAGGTTTAATTCATCGTCTTCTTATGCACACAATCTATAATTCAAAATTTAAACCAACTTATACATCATGTAGACTCTTAAGGATTCTGAAAAGCTAAGTTGAACAATTTGATATTATTTTTTTATTATCTGACATTTGATCTCACTGAACCAGCTTAAACAAAAAAAAAAAGAATAATAATAATAATAATAATAATAATATATTATTATTATTATTATACTAATTATATATTAATAATTATATGGATCATTTATAAAAAAAATCCTTTTGTGCTGCTCACAATTCAGTTAATAAATGATTTTTTTGGTAAAATTATAACAGAAAATTAATAGTAATACTCAAAGATTTTTACTTCAGTTAGTTATCAAACTAATTAACTGATCATTTGTTTAATTATCAGCAGTTAATTAAATAATTGCAACTGGAAAAGAAACAAGATCGACTAGCTCCAAAAGACTCTTCACCATCTTGTAAAGCTAAATTAAATCATAACCAAAAAGGTAGTTTAACTAATTGGCTCATTATTCGTGGAATTTATGTATTATTTATATGACTGATTGTAAAATCTGCTAATTATTTAACTAATTAAAACTCAAGAAAATCTTTAACCTTGACTACATTGCATGCATGTTAATTAAACACGTTGGACTTATGTAACTCATGTTAACTTACAAATTAGAAATGCAAACAAATAAAAACCTGAGTCTAGTTAATACTATTTGATCTTTAATTTTATCGTTTTTACAAATTGTGTTAAACTCGACCGAGTTTCATATCTTACCGGAACAGATTTTTTTTCCTATTTATTTAAAGAATTGAATTAATTAAAAAGAACTCTTAATTCTGAAGACTTGCCTGTAAAATAGATTAGTTAAATAGGGAAATATATTCCATTGGGACCTTTGAATAAATAATATTAAATAGTAGTAGATGTATCCTTTGGGATATACGATAAGGCTAACACGTACTCAAGATGCGGAAAATTGGATTCCTTCTTATTAGTAGTAATTAATCTAATTAATCATACTTATGATTAATTAAACCATAGTTAAACCCCCTATTGCTCATTAAAAGCCAGCTAAACTTGTCAACGCCTAGTACTATATAAACGGTTCCTTATCCCCTCATTTCCAACATCAACAAATCCTTCATTTCAGAAGGATATTTAATTTTATTACTAAAAATAATTTTAAAAAAATTCTGATATGGAAGGATCTCCGGGAACTTCCATGCATGGAGTCACCGGAAGGGAGCCGGTGCTTGCATTTTCAGTGGCTTCTCCGATGGTCCCCACCGACAATACGGCGCATTTCGATTTGCCGGTGGATTCAGAGCACAAGGCCAAGAAATTCAAGCTCTTCTCCTTCGCTAATCCACACATGAGGACTTTCCATCTTTCCTGGATCTCCTTCTTCACCTGCTTCGTCTCCACCTTCGCCGCCGCCCCTCTGGTTCCGATCATCCGTGACAACCTCAACCTCACCAAGGGCGACATCGGAAACGCCGGAGTTGCCTCCGTCTCCGGAAGTATCTTCTCCAGGCTGGTGATGGGTGCCGTCTGCGATCTTCTAGGCCCCAGGTACGGATGCGCATTCCTGGTCATGATGACTGCTCCGACGGTCTTCTGCATGTCTTTTGTATCCTCCGCCGGCGGCTACGTGGCGGTCCGTTTCATGATCGGATTCTCTCTGGCGACGTTCGTGTCTTGCCAGTACTGGATGAGCACCATGTTCAACAGTCAGATTATCGGGCTTGTCAACGGAACCGCCGCCGGATGGGGTAACATGGGAGGTGGCGCCACCCAGCTACTGATGCCGCTGCTTTTCGAGATAATCAAGAGCGCCGGAGCGACGCCGTTCACCGCCTGGAGAATAGCATTCTTCATACCAGGGTGGCTCCACATCATCATGGGTCTTTTGGTATTAACACTTGGCCAAGATTTGCCTGATGGAAATCTGAGTACCCTCCAAAAGAAGGGAGAAGTTGCCAAAGATCAATTCGGCAAGGTATATATATACATACACATACATTTTATAATTTAATTCATAAATTGGTAAAAGAAATGAATTAACTAATTAATATATAATATATATATATATTCAGGTGCTATGGTATGCAGTGACAAACTACAGGACATGGATTTTCGTCCTCCTATATGGTTACTCCATGGGCGTTGAACTCTCAACCGATAATGTTATCGCCGAATACTTCTACGATAGGTACTTAATTTACGTAAAAGTATTCGTACGTTTTATCTTGGCTAATCTGATATTGTGACAATGTATATAATAATTGAACAGATTTGACCTAAAGCTACACACAGCCGGAGTGATAGCAGCAACATTCGGAATGGCGAATCTGTTGGCCCGTCCGTTCGGAGGATTCGCTTCCGATTATATGGCTCGACATTTTGGAATGAGGGGTAGACTTTGGACTCTTTGGACTCTTCAAACAATGGGTGGTGTTTTTTGCATTCTTCTCGGCAGAGCTACTTCTCTTCCAGTCGCCATAGCACACATGATCATCTTCTCCATCGGAGCTCAGGCTGCATGTGGTGCTACTTTTGGTGTCGTCCCTTTTATTTCCCGGCGGTCTTTGGGAATTATATCAGGTTTGACCGGCGCAGGAGGAAACTTCGGATCCGGGTTGACTCAGTT